AATCCCTCTCTCGCCTGCTCCCCACCACCCAATCCCTCTCTCGCCTGCTCCCCACCACCCAATCCCTCTCTCGCCTGCTCCCCACCACCCAATCCCTCTCTCGCCTGCTCCCCACCACCCAATCCCTCTCTCGCCTGCTCCCCACCACCCAATCCCTCTCTCGCCTGCTCCCCACCACCCAATCCCTCTCTCGCCTGCTCCCCACCACCCAATCCCTCTCTCGCCTGCTCCCCACCACCCAATCCCTCTCTCGCCTGCTCCCCACCACCCAATCCCTCTCTCGCCTGCTCCCCACCACCCAATCCCTCTCTCGCCTGCTCCCCACCACCCAATCCCTCTCTCGCCTGCTCCCCACCACCCAATCCCTCTCTCGCCTGCTCCCCACCACCCAATCCCTCTCTCGCCTGCTCCCCACCACCCAATCCCTCTCTCGCCTGCTCCCCACCACCCAATCCCTCTCTCGCCTGCTCCCCACCACCCAATCCCTCTCTCGCCTGCTCCCCACCACCCAATCCCTCTCTCGCCTGCTCCCCACCACCCAATCCCTCTCTCGCCTGCTCCCCACCACCCAATCCCTCTCTCGCCTGCTCCCCACCACCCAATCCCTCTCTCGCCTGCTCCCCACCACCCAATCCCTCTCTCGCCTGCTCCCCACCACCCAATCCCTCTCTCGCCTGCTCCCCACCACCCAATCCCTCTCTCGCCTGCTCCCCACCACCCAATCCCTCTCTCGCCTGCTCCCCACCACCCAATCCCTCTCTCGCCTGCTCCCCACCACCCAATCCCTCTCTCGCCTGCTCCCCACCACCCAATCCCTCTCTCGCCTGCTCCCCACCACCCAATCCCTCTCTCGCCTGCTCCCCACCACCCAATCCCTCTCTCGCCTGCTCCCTGCCACCCCACCCCTCTATCACCCGCTCCCCACCACCCAATCCCTCTCTCGCCTGCTCCCCACCACCCAATCCCTCTCTCGCCTGCTCCCCACCACCCAATCCCTCTCTCGCCTGCTCCCCACCACCCAATCCCTCTCTCGCCTGCTCCCCACCACCCAATCCCTCTCTCGCCTGCTCCCCACCACCCAATCCCTCTCTCGCCTGCTCCCCACCACCCAATCCCTCTCTCGCCTGCTCCCCACCACCCAATCCCTCTCTCGCCTGCTCCCCACCACCCAATCCCTCTCTCGCCTGCTCCCCACCACCCAATCCCTCTCTCGCCTGCTCCCCACCACCCAATCCCTCTCTCGCCTGCTCCCCACCACCCAATCCCTCTCTCGCCTGCTCCCCACCACCCAATCCCTCTCTCGCCTGCTCCCCACCACCCAATCCCTCTCTCGCCTGCTCCCCACCACCCAATCCCTCTCTCGCCTGCTCCCCACCACCCAATCCCTCTCTCGCCTGCTCCCCACCACCCAATCCCTCTCTCGCCTGCTCCCCACCACCCAATCCCTCTCTCGCCTGCTCCCCACCACCCAATCCCTCTCTCGCCTGCTCCCCACCACCCAATCCCTCTCTCGCCTGCTCCCCACCACCCAATCCCTCTCTCGCCTGCTCCCCACCACCCAATCCCTCTCTCGCCTGCTCCCCACCACCCAATCCCTCTCTCGCCTGCTCCCCACCACCCAATCCCTCTCTCGCCTGCTCCCCACCACCCAATCCCTCTCTCGCCTGCTCCCCACCACCCAATCCCTCTCTCGCCTGCTCCCCACCACCCAATCCCTCTCTCGCCTGCTCCCCACCACCCAATCCCTCTCTCGCCTGCTCCCCACCACCCAATCCCTCTCTCGCCTGCTCCCCACCACCCAATCCCTCTCTCGCCTGCTCCCCACCACCCAATCCCTCTCTCGCCTGCTCCCCACCACCCAATCCCTCTCTCGCCTGCTCCCCACCACCCAATCCCTCTCTCGCCTGCTCCCCACCACCCAATCCCTCTCTCGCCTGCTCCCCACCACCCAATCCCTCTCTCGCCTGCTCCCCACCACCCAATCCCTCTCTCGCCTGCTCCCCACCACCCAATCCCTCTCTCGCCTGCTCCCCACCACCCAATCCCTCTCTCGCCTGCTCCCCACCACCCAATCCCTCTCTCGCCTGCTCCCCACCACCCAATCCCTCTCTCGCCTGCTCCCCACCACCCAATCCCTCTCTCGCCTGCTCCCCACCACCCAATCCCTCTCTCGCCTGCTCCCCACCACCCAATCCCTCTCTCGCCTGCTCCCCACCACCCAATCCCTCTCTCGCCTGCTCCCCACCACCCAATCCCTCTCTCGCCTGCTCCCCACCACCCAATCCCTCTCTCGCCTGCTCCCCACCACCCAATCCCTCTCTCGCCTGCTCCCCACCACCCAATCCCTCTCTCGCCTGCTCCCCACCACCCAATCCCTCTCTCGCCTGCTCCCCACCACCCAATCCCTCTCTCGCCTGCTCCCCACCACCCAATCCCTCTCTCGCCTGCTCCCCACCACCCAATCCCTCTCTCGCCTGCTCCCCACCACCCAATCCCTCTCTCGCCTGCTCCCCACCACCCAATCCCTCTCTCGCCTGCTCCCCACCACCCAATCCCTCTCTCGCCTGCTCCCCACCACCCAATCCCTCTCTCGCCTGCTCCCCACCACCCAATCCCTCTCTCGCCTGCTCCCCACCACCCAATCCCTCTCTCGCCTGCTCCCCACCACCCAATCCCTCTCTCGCCTGCTCCCCACCACCCAATCCCTCTCTCGCCTGCTCCCCACCACCATCCTGCCCAATCCCTCTCTCGCCTGCTCCCCACCACCCAATCCCTCTCTCGCCTGCTCCCCACCACCCAATCCCTCTCTCGCCTGCTCCCCACCACCCAATCCCTCTCTCGCCTGCTCCCCACCACCCAATCCCTCTCTCGCCTGCTCCCCACCACCCAATCCCTCTCTCGCCTGCTCCCCACCACCCAATCCCTCTCTCGCCTGCTCCCCACCACCCAATCCCTCTCTCGCCTGCTCCCCACCACCCAATCCCTCTCTCGCCTGCTCCCCACCACCCAATCCCTCTCTCGCCTGCTCCCCACCACCCAATCCCTCTCTCGCCTGCTCCCCACCACCCAATCCCTCTCTCGCCTGCTCCCCACCACCCAATCCCTCTCTCGCCTGCTCCCCACCACCCAATCCCTCTCTCGCCTGCTCCCCACCACCCAATCCCTCTCTCGCCTGCTCCCCACCACCCAATCCCTCTCTCGCCTGCTCCCCACCACCCAATCCCTCTCTCGCCTGCTCCCCACCACCCAATCCCTCTCTCGCCTGCTCCCCACCACCCAATCCCTCTCTCGCCTGCTCCCCACCACCCAATCCCTCTCTCGCCTGCTCCCCACCACCCAATCCCTCTCTCGCCTGCTCCCCACCACCCAATCCCTCTCTCGCCTGCTCCCCACCACCCAATCCCTCTCTCGCCTGCTCCCCACCACCCAATCCCTCTCTCGCCTGCTCCCCACCACCCAATCCCTCTCTCGCCTGCTCCCCACCACCCAATCCCTCTCTCGCCTGCTCCCCACCACCCAATCCCTCTCTCGCCTGCTCCCCACCACCCAATCCCTCTCTCGCCTGCTCCCCACCACCCAATCCCTCTCTCGCCTGCTCCCCACCACCCAATCCCTCTCTCGCCTGCTCCCCACCACCCAATCCCTCTCTCGCCTGCTCCCCACCACCCAATCCCTCTCTCGCCTGCTCCCCACCACCCAATCCCTCTCTCGCCTGCTCCCCACCACCCAATCCCTCTCTCGCCTGCTCCCCACCACCCAATCCCTCTCTCGCCTGCTCCCCACCACCCAATCCCTCTCTCGCCTGCTCCCCACCACCCAATCCCTCTCTCGCCTGCTCCCCACCACCCAATCCCTCTCTCGCCTGCTCCCCACCACCCAATCCCTCTCTCGCCTGCTCCCCACCACCCAATCCCTCTCTCGCCTGCTCCCCACCACCCAATCCCTCTCTCGCCTGCTCCCCACCACCCAATCCCTCTCTCGCCTGCTCCCCACCACCCAATCCCTCTCTCGCCTGCTCCCCACCACCCAATCCCTCTCTCGCCTGCTCCCCACCACCCAATCCCTCTCTCGCCTGCTCCCCACCACCCAATCCCTCTCTCGCCTGCTCCCCACCACCCAATCCCTCTCTCGCCTGCTCCCCACCACCCAATCCCTCTCTCGCCTGCTCCCCACCACCCAATCCCTCTCTCGCCTGCTCCCCACCACCCAATCCCTCTCTCGCCTGCTCCCCACCACCCAATCCCTCTCTCGCCTGCTCCCCACCACCCAATCCCTCTCTCGCCTGCTCCCCACCACCCAATCCCTCTCTCGCCTGCTCCCCACCACCCAATCCCTCTCTCGCCTGCTCCCCACCACCCAATCCCTCTCTCGCCTGCTCCCCACCACCCAATCCCTCTCTCGCCTGCTCCCCACCACCCAATCCCTCTCTCGCCTGCTCCCCACCACCCAATCCCTCTCTCGCCTGCTCCCCACCACCCAATCCCTCTCTCGCCTGCTCCCCACCACCCAATCCCTCTCTCGCCTGCTCCCCACCACCCAATCCCTCTCTCGCCTGCTCCCCACCACCCAATCCCTCTCTCGCCTGCTCCCCACCACCCAATCCCTCTCTCGCCTGCTCCCCACCACCCAATCCCTCTCTCGCCTGCTCCCCACCACCCAATCCCTCTCTCGCCTGCTCCCCACCACCCAATCCCTCTCTCGCCTGCTCCCCACCACCCAATCCCTCTCTCGCCTGCTCCCCACCACCCAATCCCTCTCTCGCCTGCTCCCCACCACCCAATCCCTCTCTCGCCTGCTCCCCACCACCCAATCCCTCTCTCGCCTGCTCCCCACCACCCAATCCCTCTCTCGCCTGCTCCCCACCACCCAATCCCTCTCTCGCCTGCTCCCCACCACCCAATCCCTCTCTCGCCTGCTCCCCACCACCCAATCCCTCTCTCGCCTGCTCCCCACCACCCAATCCCTCTCTCGCCTGCTCCCCACCACCACCCCGCCCTCACCTGCTTGCTGTCATGCATGATGTTCTTCCGCACCACGCTGCGCCCCCGTCATCCCCACACACGTGAAAGTGAATGTTATACCGCCCCAGCTTGCCCTGCTGCCCCATCTGGGCAAACTCCACCCCTTCTATGAACTGTGGCGTGCCGCTCATGAAGATCATGAAGTGCCCGCCCTCCCGGTGGTACGGCACCGGCTCGTCTGTTCCCGTGATGGCGATGGTGCGGTCGAGGAGGGCCACTTCGGCCCGTTGGTCCACGAAGCCCCCGTAGCCGTCCGGCACACCCTTGGGATCTCCGAAGTGCATCAGGCGGAGCGGCTTTTCCAGGAAGATTTTCGAGCCACCGGAGGGGAGGGCCACCACTGGAGGGAGGGGGGGGAGAGAGGAGGGGTCCGGATGGTGAATATGATGAGTGGGTCTGGTCGAAGCACGCCCTTGGGACCTCCGAAGTGGGTCAGGCAGAGAAGCTTCTCAAGAAACTTCTTGAGCTGCCCGAAGGGAGGGCCAACACTGGAGGGAGGGAGGGGGTTGGAGGAGGGAGGTGGGGAAGGCGGGGGGAGGGGGGAAGGAGGATGTGACGTCAGCTATCCCCCACGAACATTCCCACATATGCCCCACAGGACGAGCTTATCTATCCCCATCCTCCATCCATGCCCCTCCCACTCACAATCAATAATTTCCACGACCTCTGCCTGGTCGGGGAAGTAGTGGGTGGATGTGACAACAGCGAACGAGAACGAGGCATCCCGTATCGAACATCAATCGCCCCCCCTTGGACGTACCATCGATGATCCCCACCACCTCCGCCTGGTCCGGAAAGTAGTCGGTGGATGTGACAACAACGAAGGCGTCCTGAGGCCATGCGCTGACGTCATCCTGCACTGTAATCACCAGGTCGTTCTGCTGAGCTGTCGCCGTCAGCTTCGTCCACGCGGGCGTGCTGCTGCCACCTGGCATGCCGTGGAAATCCACCTGGCCGCCCACCTGACAGCAACAGACAAAGGGGCGTCGAACAATCATCATGCAAGGGAGGGGCAGGGGCAGAGAAAACAACAGAGCCATATCAAACAGGATATAAAAAAAGACCTGACCTCCCACCTGAAAACAACAGAGGAGCCATCGAGGGGAGAATGGATTGGGGGGAAAAGAGGGGGGGGGGGCAGGGGAGGGGGGAGGAGGGGAGCGGAACGAAGGCAGAGAGAGCAGAGGAGACGCGGAGAAGAGCAGTGTCGCTCACCACGGCAAACGCCTTGTGGCCAAGGTTCCGCGGGAACGCAGGCTCCGCGGGAAGGTTCTCCGTGAACAGATAGTCCGCCCTGTTATTGGGATTAGGCGTGAGAGTGATCTTGATCCTCTGCCTGTAGTGCTGCTGCGGCGTGCCGATGGAGAAGTTCCCCTGCACCACTATGAACGCCGCGGACAGGTCGATTTTAGGGAGTGCGGGGGAGTCGAGCACGCGGAGAAACCCGCGGATGTTGAGGAGAGTGAGGGCGATGGGGGAGGTGTCGAGGAGAATGGCCTCCCCGCACGCGATGGTGACGTTGGCTCCGATGGCGTCGCCCTGGCCGGGGATGGGGCCGGGGGCCCACGTGGCCAGGTCGCTCCACTTCTTGTGCGCTGTGCGGGGGGAGGGGGGTGGGGGGGGGAGGGGGGAAGGGGGAGGTGAAAAGGGAAGAGGAGGGGAGGGGGGAAGGAGGGGGAGGAAGGGGGAAGAAGGGCGGGAGGCGGGTGAGGGGGAAGTTGAGGAGGCGGAGGAATCCCCCCTCTCGGATGAGGGCTTGAACTTGCCCTGGGATGGGCCCGCCCCCCTCCCATGTCGCTGAAGCGCTCCGCTTCTTGTGGCCTGGGGGGGAGAAAGGGGGGGGAGCGGGGAGGGGGAAGGGGGTGGGGGGAATTGGGGGAAGGAGAGCAGAGAAAGGGGAAAGATGGAGAGAGGGGAGGGAGGAACGGAGGGAGGGAGGGAGGAGGGAGAAAGGGAGGGAAGGAGGGAGGGAGGAAAGGAGAATTCAGAGGGGACCCAAGGGGGGGGGGGGGGGGGGGGGAACACAAGGGAGGGCAAGGGGGAGGGGGAAGGGGGAGGAGGAGCGGGAGGGGGAAGGGGAAATGCGAAGGCGACGGAAGAGGAGGGGGAGGGGGAGGGGGAGGGGGAGGGGGAGGGGGATGGGGATGGGGATGCGCACTGGTAGGTTCGGCGAGGGTGGGACAAGGCGGGAGGAAGTTATCGAGCACGTTGGGTCGCCCAGCAGTCGCAGGCGACACCATTGCGACGACGGCGACGGCGACTGCGACAGCTGCCAGCCATGCTGCGCGCCGAGCCCGCGGAAGGGTGGAAGCCCCGACGCGGCCACGACGGGGGGAGCGCGCGGGGGGTGAATGAGCGGAAGGGGAGCGCGGTGAGCGCGCGGAGGGTTCGCGGGCGGCGGAGCGGCTCTGGCGGCAGCGGAAGGTGAGGATCGTCGAATGGCGAGGCGGCGAATCGACGGCGCGAGGCGCAGGCATCGTGGCGGAAAATGCGCGGCTTTGGCGGAATTCACGAAGGAAATCAACACGTGCGGCGATGAGGCGCAAGCAGGGGCGGTCGGCGCCGCGTGCTGCAATTCCGTTAGCGTTATTCCAAGCTATGTTCCTCTAGAGGCCTCGCCGCTTTCGACGACTTGCGACTCTCTTGCTACTAGAAAAGCCCGCTCCTCCCCATTCGCATCGCCTGTGTGTGCGAATGAAACGGCGGGATGAGTGGGACTGGTTGTGTCTCTGAGCTAACTGAGCCGAATTCCTTTTCCAGCCGAAATTCAGAGCTTGCTCTTTGCTCTGCTCTGGTGCGCCCACTAGGCACTCTACAGTCTTCACGCTCAACAACTCCACTCAAGCAACCATGCTAGCACACACGGTGGTTTAGTAAGGTCCGTTACGGTAGTACCACTCCCTGCTTGGGATGAGAGGGATGGGAGCAGATGCATGTGTAACGTAACGAAGCACACTGCACCGCACAGTACAGGATAAGGCGAAAGAGAGGACTGAGGGAGAGGAGAGGGGAGGAGGAATCGTGTTTCTGGCGGCAGGTGCATGGATAGCCTGACAAGGCGGCCCGTTACGGCGCAAGGGGCCGCCCCGCCACCTACCCACGGAAGCAGCAAGTGGCGCGGAGCGTTACTGCCATGGAGGTTGTGCCTTTAGGCTGTATAAAGTGTTTTCACAAGTTTCACTTACTGCTAAATACATATTTTCTGCAATCTTTTGCACAATGTGAGACTTGTTATGGGTTAGTGACTTGGTGATAATTTCAGCAACCATTCATTCACATAAAAAATTCAATCATTCTTAAACGAATTGTTAAAAACAAACAACGGTATGCTTGATTCTATATCATTTTTTTGCACTAAGCATTGGCAAAGAGGAGGTGCCTGAGTTTGTCTAAGAGCTAGAACTGGGGCAGCCCTCTCTATTCTTCTGAGTCGACTCATACGGTAAGTGTCGAGATTTAACTGTGCAGGAATGGTGTTTGACAAGGAACAAGGAGATACAAGTATGAAACCCTAAATGGGGTCGTACTCTATACTGAGCACCTCACTGTAGCCTAGCAGATTTAACAACATATAAAAATGTTTTGACACACTTTTAGGCAAAGTGAGGGATAGCCAACACAACAAATGGTCACAAGACCAGTCATGCAAGAGAACAAAGCAATGCAAAGCCCAGGGTGGATCTCAAGATCACCACGCATTCTGAGCACAAGCAAGTGGCCACAAGGCCAGTTCACATGCAGAGTTATAATAGCAAGGCAGTACACTGATCACAACCTAGCATGAGTAAACATGCAGGTATAAATATAGATATAAGTGTACAACAAGTGCAAGATCAAGAGACAAGCAGGTGAGGCAGAGTGGGCAGAAGCCCAAGAGCAGTGAAAGAACGCTGATGATCACCAGACCCGAGGGCATTGGTGAAGACATCAGCAGTGTTGGCCCGAGAGGCCACGTAGGAAAGGCGAAGCTGACCACGCTGCTGCAGCTCTCGAGCAAGAAAATAGCGAGGAGCAATGTGCTTCGTTCTGTGCTCCAGTCTCTGCTCGTGACACAAGGCAAGCATGGCCTTGTTGTCGACGTACAGAACTGGAGGAGAACGAGGCCGCTCCCCCAAGTCGGTCAGCCAGCGTAGCTCCTGTGCAGCCATAGCCCCAGCGTAGATCTCGGCCTCACAGCTGGAACCAAGCACAGAAGACGAACGAGTGGACCTCCACGAGACAGAACCAGAGCCAAGACTGAAGGTGTAACCCTGTGACGATCGCTGAGTCGCCTGGTCGTCGGCTCAGGAAGCGTCTGAGTGACCTGTGAGTACTACTGAGTCCCGTCCTCCAAGCACAAGCCCCGTGCCCGATGTACTGCACAAGTAACGCAGTACCCTCTTGGCAGCTTCCCAGTGCACCTTTCGGTGTCTACCAGGAGCCACGTAGCGAGCCAGGAGGCTCAGAGGGTACGCGAGGTCAGGTCGTGTGCACGTCATTAGGTACACGAGGCAACCCACAAGCTCTGGATACGGACCATTCGGCTCTACGGACTCGTCCGAAGGTGGAGCTGAGAGCGAGTGGCCTGTAGGCAGAGGAGTAGGCTGTGGCGAGGAGCACGTTAAGCCGAAGCGCTGAAGGACCTGGTGCACCATGTGTGACTGAGTCAGGGTGATGGTGCGCCCTGCTCTGTCCCGGGTGATCTGCAAGCCAAGATAGCTCCGCGGCTCACCCAGGTCAGTGCAAGTGTGTCTCTCCTGCAGCTCCGCCTTCACTAGGGCCAGTGCCTCAGTGTCAGCAGTAGCAAAAACCAAGTCGTCGACGTACACGAGAACGTAGAACGGCGGCAGAGAAGTGTCGGTGCGTAGAAACAACGACGGGTCAGCAGAGTAAGGAGCAAACCTATGAGCCGCAAGTGTCGTCCTCAGTGTGTCGTGCCACTCGCGGGGCACCTGGCGGAGACCGTAGACTGGCCGCCGGAGGCTCCACTGGGTACCTGCAGGAAACGACCCAGTGAAGCCAGGTGGGCGGCGCAGCCAGATCTCCTCGTGAAGGCTGCCCTGCAAGAAAGCTGTGGAGAAGTCGAGGGAGTGCAGCTCGTAGTCACGCTGTGCTGCAACGTGCAGCAGCACCTGAAGAGTAGTCATCTTCGGGGTGGGGGAGAAGGTCTGGAAGAAGGCGACCCCCTGTCGCTGACTGAAGCCTCGAGCAATGTAACGCGCCTTGAAGGCAGGCGGAGAACCCGGCGGCCGCTTCACTCTGAAAATCCACATGCCATCGACTATGTTCGCCCCAGGAGGAGGAACATCGTCGAAGTAGGTACCTGTGGACTTCCAGGAAGCCATCTCTGCGTCCATGGCTGTCTGCCACTGAGAGGAGTACCCACCCGCGATCGCCTCAGCGCAAGAGCGCGGGGTAGGGATGTCAAGTGCATCCGGGTCTCCCTCAGGACAAAGCAACATGGATGCGAAACGAGGTAAAGCGGCCACAAAACACTCAATCTCAAACTGCATGTCCTCAAGGACGTCACTGCTAAGGGCAGGCTCACCCTCGACGGACGGAGGACAGACAGACTCAGACTCAGTAACAAGACCCGCGACGTAGTCGAGACGACGCCTAGCAGCAAACGCAACCATAGACTCAAAGGAAGGGTCAGTGACGACAGTGGCGAGGAGACGAGTGACAGTATGACTGGCTGCACGAGTAAGGTCGGACTCAGGGTCAGGAACGTCAGGAAGAGAGGACGCCGGAGGAGACGGCAGGGCAACACGCTGTGGAACAGAGGAAGGACGAAGTGCCATAACGTGAGTGCATGGGACAGCAGGAGGACGAGAACGGGCGACACAACGAGCATGAACAGGTGTGGAGGCACGTGACTCAGGCTCATGACGCTCAGTCAAGGAGTGTGACAGCTTAGTGTAGGGAGAAGGAGCGGGCAGTGGGGAGCCGGGCGGCAACTGTGTCTGAGACGGGGCAGACGGTGGACACAGGAGAGGTGGAGTGAGGCCATTGGAAGACGGGAGACTAAGAACCTGGCGAAGGGCCGAGTCAGGCGGTGGCAGGGACGACTGCGGCTGCGGGTAGAAAAACGGTCGGCGCGGCGCAGTACCCGTACCTTCAGCAGCTCCAGCAGCTCCAGCACCTCCAGTACCTCCATCTCCAGCGCCTCCAGCACCAGCAACACCTCCAGCACCTCCAGCTCAAGCAGCTCAAGCACCTCTAGTACGAGCACCTCCAAAACCAGCAGTTCCAGCACCTACAGTACCTCCAGTACCTCCAGCACCTCCAGCACCAGCAGCACCAGCACCTCCAGCTACGGCAGCTCCAGCACCTCTAGTACGAGCACCTCCAGCACCAGCAGCACCAGCACCTCCAGTGCCAGCAGCTCCAGTACCTCCAGCACCTCCAGTACCTCCAGCTCCAGCACCTCCAGGTCCACCAGCTCTAGCACCTCCAATGCCAGCAGCTCCAGCACCTCCAGCACCAGCAGCACCTCCAGCACCAGCAGCACCTCCAGCACCAGCAGCACCTCCAGCACCAGCAGCACCTCCAGCACCAGCAGCACCTCCAGCACCAGCAGCTCCAGCACCTCCAGTAGTACCTCCAGCACCAGCAGCTCCAGGACCTGTAAAACTCCAAGCTCCAGCACCAGAGCGGCCTCGGGGACGACCCCCTCATGAAGCTGCTGCGGTGAGGGCGTCTCGAGTCGACTAGGCGGCTGCTGCTGTCCAACGCCAGGACCTGCAGCAGGAGCACCCACGGCCCCTCCACCACTAAGACTCGCAGCACCCCCAGAACCCTCACCCCCAGTCTTAGCACCCCCCTAACCCTCACCCCCAGTCTCAGCACCCCCAGAACCCTCACCCCCTGTCTCAGCACCCCCAACAGCACCAGTGTCCACAGCTACAGGCTGCAGAGGCGGCGAAGACTGTCGAGGCGGATAACCAGGAGGGGTCTCCAAGCGTGGAGAGCGACGAGTGGCCGCCATGTCGTCAGCGGTGGGGTCACCCCCCTCAGCCGGGCCAGAGGTGTCAGAGGAGACCACCAAAAGCTCAACCAAGGGGGGTGGGTCTACCTGAGACACACCTGAGGGAGCAGGACCCTGTGGGAGGGAGGGGGTCTACCGGGGGGGAAGCTGGTACCAGGAAGAGAGGCGCCAGGGGGACCGGGTGGGATGCGTGCGGGCGGAGCCTGTAGAAACAGACAGACTCGTCAAAGGTGACGTCCTAGGAGGACAGGACTCGACGCGAGACAGGGTGGTAAAACTGCCACGGCGGGGCGTCGGTGGGGAAGCCCAGGAAGGCGCATCGGAGAGTGCGAGGAGAGAGCTTGCTTGCGGTGGTATCGCGGACAAGGGAGAGCGCGCCCCAGACCAGAAACGCCGACGCATCGCCAACCTCTCCCGTCCAACGGAGTATGGGCGAGGTCTCTGGCAAAGAGACACGTGGCCAGAGGTTGAGCTGATGCGCGGCGTATCGGACCGCAAACGGCCACATAAAATGGGGAGCAGCCGCATGGATCATGGATGTACGAGCAACCTCCATGATCAAGCCAATGCGACGCTCAGCAATCCCATTTTGCTGCGGAGAGGCCGGAAGCGTGAACGACTGGACGATGCCCTCGTCTCGACAGAACTCCGCAAGGAGGCCGGAAGAGAACTCACTGCTCCTGTCAGAGTGCAGACGCAGGACTGGAAAGTCCCGCCGAAACCGCTCGCGCAGCTGGTGACGAGTAGTGCGGATCCAGGGGATCAAAACACCTTAGATGTCCGTCTTGCTGCAAAAGGGGAAGACCGTGGTGTAGCGCGTGTAGTCGTCAACGACCAGCAGGAAGTAGCGCTCCTGGTCCGTCCCATGGACGGGGGCCGGGCCCCACACGTCCATGTGGAAAGTCTGCAGAGGAGCAGTGGTCGGAGGAAACGAGGAGGAGTGAGGAGCGGCGCGCTGCCGCCCCTCGACGCAGGGAAGGCACGGCGGGGCAAGTGAGCGCGGGAGAGGGGGTATGGACATGGGAAGGCCAGAGACAAGGAGACGAGAGTGCATGCTGCGTAGACGCGGCAGAGAGGGGTGACCGAGGCGGTGGTGCCAGAGGAGAGTCTGGTGGGAGAGTACCTGACACGAGCACAACGCAGCGAGCTGACTAGACGCAGACACCTGACTCGACGCAGCAACATGACCTGACGCAGCCACATGTGCAGACACAATCCTCAAGGTGTACAGACTGGACCCAGGCTTCCGAGTGAACGTAGCAAGGTGACGGCCAGTCCGGGAGCACGTACAGATCGACACACGCTGCCCTCCATGAGTAAAGGTATCAACCAATGCATCTTGAAGGACTGCGTTGCTCACCAAGTTCGTCGAGAGCGAGGGGAGGTGGAGACCTGAAAGAGCTCCGGAGGGGACTGCCGGACACGGGAGGACAGTGGAGGCTCGTGCAACAACTGGGCCCTCCAGAGGGGTCAGCAGTGAGACCGGGACTGGTGCAGCAAGCGGTGTGACTGTGGTGCAATCACGAAAGAAGCAACGAGACGCACCAGAGTCAAGTGTGAAAGTGTGCAAGGCCTCAGCTAAGGCAGCAGACTCACTAGCAGCAGACTCACTAGCACCTGTGGCAGCAGACGCACTAGCACCTAGAGCGGTAGCAGACTCACTAGCACCTAGAGCAGCAGCACCTACACCAGCAGCGCAAGGCACACACGAGTAACAGGCACCCTCAGCACTAATAGCATCAACATACATAGCATAGATAGCCTTGTTGATCTGAACAAAGTCAAGAGCAAACACATCCACATTCTTCGCTATCAGTCCCTGCCAGTTGGGGACCTCCTGCTCATCACCGAACTCGGTCACCCAGGCATCCTCGAGACGACCAAAGCAGCAATACTCAGTGTGCCCAGGCTTCCCGCAGGTCTAACCCTTCTTGAGCCCCGTGCGCCTGACATACGAGCAGCGAACAGAGCCCCCAAGGGAACCACGCTGGACAATTCACTCACGAAGCTGCTGAGGGGTGGGTGTGTCCGAGAGGCGTGGCAGCTGCTGTCCACTCCCATAGCCTCCGCCGCCACGAGCTGAGCCCCCATAGCCTCCACCCCTGCCAGCTCCACCCCGACCGCCTCCACCACCCCCGCCGCCTCCACCACTCCCGCCACCTCCACCACCCCCGCCACCTCCACCGCCTCCGGTGCCACCTACACCGCTTCCACCCCCACCACCACCCCCCCCGCTACCACCACCGCTAGCGCCACCCCCACCTCCCTTACCCCCGTTGCCCTTGCCGCTGCGGCGCTTCTCACTAGGAGCAGACGCAGCGCCGACTTCCTCAGCACCAAGGAGGTCGATGGCAGTAGCAGAGGCAACTGAGGGTATGAGAGGGGAGGGAGCACACCCTTCAAAAAGGGGGACCGGGGAGTGCCACGAGAGGCAGCGACAGCGGCAGTACTGGTCTCAGCCTCGAGAAGGTACTTCTCCAGCGAGGCAAGCGTGAGCTCAGTGGGGTCAAGGGCGAGGAAGTGGTCCCTAACTGTGCGGAGGGAGTCAGGGAGGCGAGTGACAAGGAAGTACAGGGTGATATAAAGCGGGGGGGGGGGGGTTCGCAGTGAGGAAGGCCGGCTTGAGAGCGGCGCAGTAGCGAGTCTCACTAGAGCGAAGGTGGGTCATGAGATCAGCAACAGTGCGGAAATCTGCGAGCTCAGGAAAGAGGTACGGCAGAATGAAACGGCCTAGGGCAGCAGTAGCTTGGGAGGAGTAACGAGCGACAACGGCGTCATAGAGGTCTTTGGCCATCTTCTTCTGGCCAAAATGTGCCCTCTCAGCTAGCGGGAGGTGGTTGCGGACAGCAAGGCGGGTAGTAGCGTCACGCGTGAGCCACTTCGAATTATCTAAGCGGTCGGCTGTATCGGCTGGGGCGAGGAGGGATTCGGACGTATGTTCGATCAATGAAACTCCATCCCTAGCTTCGCTCTGCAGGTACAGCTGGAGATTATCGAGCCAAACGTCAAAGCTAATCGGGCAACCCTCCGCATCAAAGCTAAGAACCGAAATGGTGGACATAGTAGCAGTAGCAGCAGCAGCAGCAGCAGCAGTAGCAGCAGCAGCAGCGGCAGCAGCAGCAGCAGTAGCAGCAGCAGCAGGGCAGTGCGGCTCGGTAGGGGCAGGGCAGCGCGGCTTGGGCAGGGCGGCGCGGCTCGGGCTGGGCGGCGCGGCTCGGCAGGGCGGCGCGGCTCGGGCTGGGCAGCGCGGCTCGGCAGGGCACAGCGCAGCAGCGCGTGTGGCAGCAGCGGCTCAGGCGCAGCAGCGCGTTTGGCAGCAGCTGCGCAGCAGCAGCAGCGCATGCAGCAGCAGCAGCGCGTGCGGGTAGGGGCGCTCGCGGGCAGGCAGCGCGCTCGCAGGCAGGGGGGGGACTCGCGCGGGTAGGGGCGCGGGCAGGCAGCGCTAGCGCGGGCTGATAGCGCGTGCGGGCAGGCAGCGCTCGCGAGCAAGGGGCGCGAGCGGGCAGGCAGCGCGTGCGCGGGCAGGCAGCTCGTGGGCAGGCAGCGCTCGCGGGCAGGCGGCGCTAGCGGACAGGCAGCGCGCGCGCGGGCGGGCAGCTCGCGCGGGCGACAGGCAGCGTGCGTGCGGGCAGAAAGCGCGCGTGCAGCAGGCAGCTCGCTAGGGCAGGCAGCGCGCGTGGCAGCAGGGCAGCGCGGCGCTGTTCGGGCAGGGCAGGGCAGCGCAAGGGCGCTTCGGGCAGGGTCGAGCGAAACGATCGGTGGGCCATGTCAAACCTGCTCTGAAACCATGTCGAGAGTTAACGGTGCAGGAATGGTGTTTGACTAGGAACAAGGAGATACAAGTATTAAACCCTAATTGGGGTTGTACTCTATACTGAGCACCTCACTGCAGCCTAGCAGAACTACCAACATATTAATAGGTTTTGACAGTAAGCTGGAAAGAACACCTTTCAGTAGTGTAGAGTATTATGCATCGGGAAAGAGGCGCCTGAGTTGGTCCACAGAGGTGGGGTGGTGGGTGATGGGGCAGCGACCGAACTGGAGGGTGAAGATGTTGGTGGGGGGATGATGGAAGGGAGTGGGGAGAGGAGATGCAGGAGCGAGGAGAGGGGTCAAGTAAAGATCCTCCACCACTTCACTGGAACTTGCCTTATCCACGTAGGCAGGAATGCAGGGGTGGCAGAAGATGACTGTTTCATACAACGCAGGTTACAGGGTTACCAGGGTACAGGATTGCTTGCCTTGTTCACATAAGCAGAGATTCAGGGTGGCAGAAGATTAATGTTTTGTCTCAACACAGGTTACACTGTTACCTGGGCACAGAATTCCTTTCCTTATCCATATAGGTAAAGATGCAGGGGTAGCAGAAGATGAAGCCAGCGGCAGAGCTTGGGTTACACGGTTACCAACCTTATCCACGTAGGCAAAGATGCAGGGGTAGCAGAAGATAAAGCCGGAGGTACAGTCTGGGTTACAAGGTTACCAACCTTATCCACGTAGGCAAAGATGCAGGGGTAGCAGAAGATAAAGCCGGAGGTGGCAGGGGCGGTGGGGTTGGTGCGACGGCAGAGGCAGAGCGGACACAGAGAGCGATCGGCAGGCACGGGGATGCCTGCAGGGGCTACCTGGAGGGGTGACAGGAGGGAGAGAAAAGGGAAAGGGTTGTACAGACAAGAATGGCTTAAATGGGAGCGGCAACAAAGGCAGAGGCCGAGCGGACACAGGGAGTGGTCAGCCGGCACGGGGATGCCTGCAGGGGCCACCTGGGGGCAAAAAAACGGGGAAAACGGGAACCCGGGAATACGGAAAACGGGCAATAAGGGAGTGATCAATGAGGGAAAAAGGGCTTCGGATTTAGGGCAAGGCAGGGCGAGGTAAGGCAAGCAAGTCATTTGCAAACAAACTTTGTATTGTTTGCATACTGAAGGCTTCATGAATTTGATCCCCGTGCGGCCGAAGAATGCTTGCCGATCGAGCTGTTTTTTGTTATTCAACGTTTTTTTCCACGGACCAAAATTCGTTGTATAGACAGGGATTCAAGGGGTCGCACTTGCCTTGGGGGGAGGTGGGGGCGGTGGTGGAGGGTACACAGTTGGAGCGCTAAGCTTCTGCTCGCCCGTCTGGTACCACCACTCGGCCATCTGATGAGGTGTGTGAATGAATAGTCCAAGGAGTGAGCGGAAGCACACAAGCAACAGGGATACATAGCACAGGATATGAGCAGAAGCATGGCGGCAAGACGCGCTCAGCTTCTGCTCGCCCCTCTGGTAACAGCAATCGGCCATCTGATGGGGAATGGTGAACGCATGCAAGAAACAAACCATGTGAGAGAGGTGTGAGCAGGGAAAACAGACAGCATGGTGGGACGACGCGCCGAGTGGCTGCTCGCCTGTCTAATACAATCACTCGGCCATCTGATAGACATGAAGGAATGGAAGCAAGAAAGGATTCCAAAGTGCCACCAGCAGGAATATCGTAGAATACGACAGCAAGATGCACTGAGATTCTGCTCGGCATCTAGTGGGGGCATGCCATGTGGTGGTATCCAACCAACCACAAGAGACACGAGGCGAGAGCGAGGTAATGGAGGCTGCTGCTACATATGAACTTCCTTTATCTCTTTGAATCTTCTGTAAGGAGGCGTACCTTGAAGGCAAAGACAGCAGCGATGACGGACGTCTGCGCATAGTCCATTGTGAAGTAGAGGGCTTTCAGGAGCGCTGCTTGCACGGCCTGGATGGAGAGAAGAGTGCGTGGGGAGGAGTGAGGAGAAAGGAGGAGCAGGAGGCCCACACAAAAAGTGTGAATGGACCATTAACCTTCTCCACTCACATAGACTGCAGGAAAATAACCCCAATACCTCAACAGTACTGCAACCTATCAACCCCAATATAACACCCACACTCCAGGCTATAAACCCTAATATAACAGCCACGTTGCTGGCTATTGACCCGGAATGTCTCACCCGTATCGCAGGTGAGCCAGGGAGGCGCTCAAACTCTCGCTGGCGGCGGGTGGAGATAGAGGAAGAGGCTTCTGCCTGCACGGTCGGTAGGGGAGAATATTTTTTTTTGGGCATTTCAACAATCCACTCGCCATGCCAGACAGCGAAAGAAGAAGATGCATCCGCCTATGCAGGCACCTCAAAATCCTTGTGATGGTGATGGGTAGAGAGAGAGGGGGGAGGCAGCGACAAAAGGAGAGGCAGGGTTAGAGGAAGAGAGCTCTGCCTGCAAGTAGGAAGGGAGGACGCGTTGAGGGGACTCATGTGCACTTACCTTCACATGCACATAATGGCACATGTGTATTTCCCAATACAAACATGCACATCCATTCACAAGCTCACAATTCTTACAAACAATAGCTAAATACTCATCTACATGAAAAAAAAAGAAGGAACATCGATGTGAGCGTGCATGCAGGCTCGGCAGCTCTTGTATTGAGACGTCTCAAAATTCTGCAGGCTCACCAGCTCCTGTGGTGTGGCTCGGCGCAGCGAGAGGGAGAGGAGGTGCAGCACGGGCGAGTAGTGCGGCGTGGCGTCCATCACGTAGAGCAGCTGGTACAGCAGACACACGCCTGGTGGTGGGGCAGAAGAAGGGGAGCGGAGAGAACAAACAAACCACAGACCTTGGCGGTAGAAGACTTGGAAGCGAGGCATGGCTTGTATGGCATAGACCAGCTGGTAGAGCACGCACAGCCTTGGGTGGGGGCGAAGAGATGATGGAAACCGGGGAAGAATAAAGGCTGGGTCTCGTGAAGGTTGCAAGCGTGGCGTGGCGATGGGTGGCATACAGCAGCTGGTAGAGCAGGCACATGCTTGGAGGGACGAGGGGACGAACAGCAGCTGACATGCTCACCACCCCACACATGCTCACCACCCCACACATGCTCACCACCCCACACATGCTCACCACCCCACACATGCTCACCACCCCACACATGCTCACCACCCCACACATGCTCACCACCCCACACATGCTCACCACCCCACACATGCTCACCACCCCACACATGCTCACCACCCCACACATGCTCACCACCCCACACATGCTCACCACCCCACACATGCTCACCACCCCACACATGCTCACCACCCCACACATGCTCACCACCCCACACGTCACCCAAGCGAGCTCACCCCACACCGCCTCACCTTCATATGGCGCCTGCAACCAGGGGTAAACTGCAGCAGCCCCTCTCACAGCCCGTCGCTGCACCCACCGCAGCACTCGCACCACCTGCCGCCACCTCCTGCTGCTGCTGCTTCTCGCACCGTTCCTCCTTGCAGCGTTGCCTCTGGCAGCAGTGCCAACCGCAGTGACAGCAGCAGCAGCCCCTGATGTCACCGCCTGCCCCCTCTGTCCGCCTGCCTGCTCCTCTGCTCCTCCCCCCGGTTCTCCACGCCCTGCAGTATCACGCCCTGCTGCCACACCTTCATCTTCCCCCACCCCATCATCCAACAATTCGCGCCCATGCAGGGAACCAACAGAGCCCATGCTGCTGCTAGGGCTGCTGCCACTCTCACTGCGCTCTTCACCTCCACTCGCCCCACCATACCCATCCCCATACCCATCCCCATCCCCTTGCCCGATACCAGCATTATTCCCCCCATCCCTCCCCGCCCCCCACTCCTCCTCCCCTGTTCCCCCCCACCCATCGTCCCCCCCCCCTTCCCCCCCCACCCACAGCGCCCGTGCCTGCCTCTGCCTCTGGCGGGCGGCAAACAGAGCATGCAGATTGGCGCGCAGGTAGGGCAGCAGCACCTGTCGTGCAATAAAAGGCAGGTGGTGTGGTGGAGAGACGAATGGGTAAGGATGGGTACAGGGTGCAGCTTGGCGCGCAGGTCCGCCATGAAAACCTGGTTTGTGTTAAAGAGTATGGGGTGTAGTGGAAAGATGGAAGGGTAATGGTAGCATTACAGGTTATAGAGGCATGGAGCTTGGTGCGCAGGTAGGGCAGGAGAACCTGGTATGTGTTAAAGAGTATGGGGTGTAGTGGGGAGATGAAAGGGTAGTGGTAGGATAACAGCTTACAGCACACAGAGTGTGCAGCTTGGTGCGCAGGTAGGGCAGGAGCACCTGGAATCTAATAGAGGGTACACGGTGTAGTGGAGAGATGAACGGGTAAGGACAGGGACAGGGTGCAGTGCAGCATCACAGGGCCACAACGCATGCAGCTTGGTGTCTCGTACGGCAGGAGAACCTGATGTGCAATAACGAGTACGGGGTGTAGTTGAGAGATGAAAACGAACAGGGTGGGATTGACAGAAGCACACGCACGAGAGGTACAGCTAAAACCCTATGCTCTGCATATCTGTTTCTTTAGGTGCTTAAGAAGAACCAGCTAAGAACCTACCCTTTGCTGCTTCACCCTCAGCCATACACAGTAAGAAACCCCAACCCGGAACTACAACTGACCAGAAAGAGAAGAGAAAGCGCCCCCTGCTTGCGAGACATGCCATATGATGCCGACCCGCCCTCTTGTCCCCCTGCCGCACTCTCTCCTCTGCCTGCCCCTTCCGCCCCTCCTGCTGCCCCCCCTGCTGCTGCCCCTGCCCTTAGCGATGCCTGGCTGGGTGAAGGGCGGTGGGGAACGGTGGAGATGCGGCGAAGGCCGTACATGGACTCGCCAAAGGAGGCGCCTGGGGGGGATGGGGGAAAGCAGTGGTTGGTGAATTGGAGGGGGGTGATGGTGATGACATCGACAAGGCATGGAAAGGCCAAAGGGCGGGAATATGGGGAGAGTTGGGGGGGAGCTGTAATGAGGTGGTAGTGCGTCAGGGAGTTAGCGAGGAAGATTGGCACGTCTGAGCAGCAAGAGCTAATAATGAGTACAGAGTGTCGTACCATGCGTTTTGAGCGAGTGCCACTCCAGCAGCAGCAGCGCAGCAGCAGCGAGCTCGTCACTGTGGTCCAGCAGGTGGTGCAGGGAAGGGCGGTGCTGTGCCAACACCTGCCAGTGCCAGGCAAGGGAGGGGAGGAAGAGGGCAGGGACGAGGGGAAGGGAGAGGCAGTAGGCATTGAGACGACTCCCCCGCACCCAATGCCTGAGCAGCAGCAGCAGCAGCAGCAGCAGCAGCAGCAGCGAGCTCGTGGCTGTGGTCTAGCAGGCGGTGCAGCGAGGGACGGTGCTGCGCCAACACCTGCCAGGCAAGCGAGGGGAGGAAGAGGGCAGGGAAGGCAGTGTGCACGCAGAGTACCGGGGGGGAAGGGGAAGAGGGATGACGAGGTCGATCGAGAGAATCTTCATGAGGTGTACTGGACACGTGGAGACATCTCATACGTCCCACCACTTGCCCGTGCTCACACAACACGACACGACACGCTCAGAAGAAAATCAGACGATATGTTTCTGCATTTCGGATAAATTTTAAAAAGGCGGTCATGAGTCATGACCACCCGCTCGCTCCATGCGGCTGACAACCCTCCCCTTCCCCTCCCCGCCGCCCTACTTTCGTCCCGCTTCCCCTCTTCCCTTCCCCTCCCCCTGCCCGCCTCCCCGAGTGGCAACAGGTGACACGACAGCTTTCCACGCACCCCTAGAGCGTATAGCGCGGCGGCTTTTAGCGAGGCGGGGAGGAAATCGGCCGCCGCCATCTCGAAGAACGTCGGCCGACTGCCCTCCGCGCCCGCCGCGTGGAACAACATCGTGCGATGTGCGGCGAGGTGTGCGGCGAGGTGTGCGACGAGTTGTACGACGAGTTGTGAGACGAAATGTGGTGCGACGCGACGATAGCGGTAAAAGGACGAGAATAACGGAGCCGAACAAACGCAACGACAGAAGAAGGGTCCACCAGTGAGGGCTACGATACGCTACGCACATAGACTGCTTGGAACGACATAACATGCTGTCTCGATTCGTGCTGGCCCTCTAAATGCTTGTAACGAAATTGGCGAGACCCTCGATTTAGAACTTTGTCCCTGTGGTAACCCTATTACTGCTTGGAACATCGCATTTCAGCAGTTCTGGCATCTGATGTGGTGCGGTGCGACTCATTTTCTTTACAATTCGGTTTTGCACGGTGTTTGACCTCAAACAGGCTCAACCGAAGACTTGACTGCAGGAACACAACCAATCACCGCTCCGCACCACACCGCGAAGAACCGTTAAAGCCCGTGACCCAAATTGCGGGCCGCGCGGGTCAACCTCTTAAAACTTGAAGAAGTTGAGTGTGCAAGCTTTGAAAACTAACGCGCCTGCAATTTGGGACTTTCGGAAACTGATCCGACCCCCAGGGCGAAATACAAGGGCAGGTGTAGTCCTATGTCGCGCCTGGGCTTAGTATGCTGGTAGCCCGTACGCAACATTCGTGCCGCGTCGCAGCACTGCGGCACGCACGCAATCGATGGGAGAAAACCGACACGAAACATCGCGTGCGATCCGAGTTTCTTCACCGCCTCGTGACTATTTTTAATGCACCTCAAAACTAGATTCTTCACCGCTTCGTGACGTCCTCTCCGGATCTCTTACCGTCCGATGAGGCGTTGCCATGGCCCCGCAATTCGCGCTCCTTCTCGTTCTCCTCTCCCTCCTCCCCCTCGTGCTCCCGCATCCCGTCCGCCTCCCCACCGCACCTTGCGCCGCGCGAGTCGCCACGCGGACCCTCGAGGGGCGCGGGGCGCACCGCGTGCTGCGCACGTCGCTCCACGTGGCATGCCGCGCCGATGTGTTCCGTCCACGTCATCCAGGCGGTGCGCACGTGGCGTGCGGAGAAGCGCCCGTTACGAGAATGGGGAGTCGCGGTTACAATGGGAATGAGGGGGAAACGGAAGGAGGGAGAACCGACGGCGGAGAGAAGGAGCGGCCGACAGATGGGTGCAGAGCGGTTCCAGAGCTCAGTAGCTGCACTGCTGCTAGTGAAAGCGTGGGAAGCGGTGGGGCGGCAGGGAGGACACGTGTCACAATACTATTGGAGCAGCCCGTGCCACGTGGGCTGTATGCCGATCCGTTTGAGCTGGAGCGAATCCTGCGACCAGGTGAGGGAGGGGGGGGGGGGGGGCGGCGTTAGTGGGCGCATGGGATGGTGAGACGACGGGGAGAAGGGCGCAGAGGAATGGGTAGCGCAGTTTAGGCGGAGCTGTGGGCACTGGGCAGCGCAGCCGAGGCAGAGCTGGAGCGAATCCTGCGACCAGGTGATGGGGAGGCGTTTCTGGGCGCGTGAGGGGGGAAGCAGAGGGAGAGCGGAAGTGGGGAGATGCGCAGTGAAGGCGGGGGAGTGTGCAGTGATGGGGGAAGGGGCGCATTGAGGAGGGGACAGGTGCGATGAATGGGGGAAGAGTGTGCAGTGAGGGGGTGCTGTTGGTGCTGATTATTGATATGCTTTTGCCTTGAACCCCACCCTTCTGCCTCGTCCCTGTCCTGCTCTCCCTCCTTAATATGCTTTTGCCTTAATATGCTTTTGCCTCTCACCCCTTCCGCACTCCCTCCTACCCCTGTTGCTCCCTTTCCTCCCTCCGGCCCCTCCAAGCCAGAGGGCGACCGAGCCTGGGTGGTAGGTCCGGTGGAGCTGGAGCAGCCGGCGCCGCGGTGTGAAGCAACAGTGGCTCTCATGGAAAGGGACGTGCCAGTGGGAGAGGGGGAGGAGGAAGGCGCAGGGGGGAAAGTGAGAAAGGGGGAAGGGGACGTGCACGCGGGGGAGAGGAAGGGGGAGAAGGGGGGCGTGCGTGAGGGGGAAGATGAGGTTACTTTCTCAGTGGAGTTCAGCCTGCCTCTGCACTCTCGTTACCCGGTAACCATGCTATCTTAATGACTCTTCTTATCGTCTTGTTGCCCACCAACCCCCTTGTTTCATAGTAAGCTTCGCAATCTGCATAACCTGTAACGACTCTGTATCCTCCAGTTATCATAGATTCCTCAGTGCAGGCTGGTTCGGAATGATGAATTCCTGTGAAACAAATTGTGCATTCGTCTCTCTCAATCCCTCTCTGCCCCTGCTGCCTCTCCAATGTCATAATCAAGCACGACGCAGCACTTTTTTTTCTGAAAAAGTTACCAGGTGCACCAGGAACTGCTTACCAGCATGATAGATTCAACTTCCTCTATCAATCCCCAACCACCGCCTCCCTTTCTCCCCCTGCCCTCCCCCTGCTTGTCCCTGCCAGGCTCTGCTGCCAACTCTCTCCCCCCCACTCTCCCCTCTATCTCTCCTCCGCTCCGCCTCTCGCTCGCTCCTAACACTTGCCTCCCTCCCCTGGGACTTGCAACAGCTTCAAGTCGCCCTTTCTAGAAACCACTCTACTCTCTCCTCTCTCTCCACCGTCTCCTCTCTCTCATGGGCCATCACCGGCAGCTGCAACCAATCACACGCAGCGGTTCATGTGCCCTTGCCTTCAGCATGCCTCGTGCTCCCTCCTCCCCCCACCTGCGCGGGACCATCCGCCCTGCACCCATCAGCGCCATCCTCCTCAGCACCAGCGTCGCCATCACCATCAGCATCCATACCATCATCTGAATCATCAGCCCCACCATCCTCAGCGCCAAACTCGCCCTCATCAGCATCAGAATCACCATCGCCATCACCGTCAGCAGTGTGTGATGCCATCACTACACCCCGCTGCGAGTGCCTTCCCATGCGGCTCACTTGGTCTTCGCAACCAGCACCTGCAGACAGAAAAACGGACAGGTCGGCCGGAGCAGCAAGACTGGGAGGAGACTCGGAGGGAGACGATGCAGCAGAAAGGCATGAGGAGGTGAGGAGGGAGAAGGAGGAGGAAGGGGCGTTGCTATGGGAGGTGCCGGCGGGGTGTGCTGCCCACACGCCCCTGGTGCTGTGGGGTACGTCCCTAGCTGCTGCTGTGGGGGCTCTGGTGCTTGTTGCCGTGGCTGCTGCTGCTCCCGTGCACACAGGAGGTGCCAAGGCCAGCAGTTGAGGCGTGGAAAAGTGCAAACACAAGTGTTGAGGCGTTTGAAACTCAACTGCTTCAGTAAACACAGGATTTTAGGTCTGAAGTTACAGGAATGAGAGGAACAAGGAGCACAGTATTTGTCACTGCACCTGTGGGGGTTCTGGACTGGTTGTTGTTGCTGTCGCTTCTGCTCCAATGCGCAAGGAAAAAAGATGCAGCATGCAGTATTTGGCAAAATCACTGAGTCCAAGTGCTGGCATCCTTGATTGGATTACCTTCAGCACATGTGTTTGTATACGTTTATGGTGCCTACAGAGTTTTCTTTCATACCATCAAACGCTACGGTAGCTTGCTCTTTATCTTTGATTCCATGAACCACAATTCAGACAAGCAGGACACAATTTCTTAAATATATAAATAAGCCTAACATAAGGTGAGCAATAACCATGTCTAACTGACAGAAGCCAAGGCCAGAGCCATCCTTTTGGATGCGCATAGGACCAGAGCCATCCCTGTAGGAGCGCACTGAACCAGAGATATCCCTTTAGGAGCGCACCGGACCCAGGCCATTCCTTAGGGAGCGCACCGGACCCGAGCCATCCCTTTGGGAGCGCACGGGACCCGAGCCATCCCTTTGGGAGCGCACCGGACCAGAGCCATCCCATTGGGAGCGCACCGGACCAGAGCCATCCCATTGTGAGCGCACCGGACCAGAGCCATCCCTTTGGGAGCGCACCGGACCCAAGCCATCCCTCTGGGAGAGCACCGGACCAGAGCCATCCCTCCGGGAGCGCACCGGACCAGAGCCATCCCTTTGGGAGCGCAACTGACCCGTGCCATCCCTTTGAGAGCGCAACTGACCCGTGCCATCCCTATGGGAGCGCAACTGACCCGTGCCACCCCTTTGGGAGCGCACTGGACTTGATGTCAACCTGGAGGAGCACACTGAAAGCAGAGCCACAGCTGAATGGCATCACATGATCATCCTTCCACCCCCACCAGATTCCCAACCCACTCTCCCGAACACCCTGACGAGCAGGGTGCAAAAATAGGACCCACCATCATCCCACTTCCCCAACCACCCAACCACCTCCCCTCCCCACTGCATCAATCTGGCCGAGGCTCTGTGCTCTCCACCTTCATCTCGCTGGAGTATGCCTTAGATGCGTCTTTAATGGCTCTTTTTTTTGAACCCATGAAGAGTTGAGGTCCCCTTTCCCAAGAGATCCACTGAGAAGTGCCCCGAGGGAGGTCGGTCCCCTTTTCTCACACTCCCGCTGAGCTTGCACCGATTTATAGTGGCGCTTACGGCCGCCACGGACGACGTGAGCTCGCAGCCAGCCCCACCATGGAGGACGATCCGGCACGAAGCTTCCTTGTAGCCGTGGGGATGACGGCAGTCGCTCGCTCCTCGTGTTGCTTCGTGTCGTTGGAGCACCGTCTGCTTCGCACCTGCCTCTCTCCTGCAGCGGCTTCTGCGGGTCGCGGAATCAACGTCGTTCCCTCCGCGCGGCTTTTCACAATCGATCTCTGACCGCTTGGTTTCGGGATGCGAGATGGCAGCAGGTGTGACGTAGGTACTGAACGAGTAGTTTCCTTTCTCAAGCCAGCTGCCACGGCCTTCAGCGATGTTGCAGATTCCGACATCACCGGCTTGAACGTCACTGGTTCCGACATCATCGGTTTCGAAGTTACCGGTTCCGACGTCATCGGTTCGGACATCACTTGTTCCGACGTCACAGCTGGTACGGACGCCACCGGATCTGAGGATGACGAAGCGGACGCCGTCGGATCCCATTTCGCCGAATCGTGCGGCTCCTTGTATACCATTAGCGATGCAGCAGCGTCGATAAGACAGGCGTCGCTGCGGCTGGCGTCGCCGATGCTCTCAGTGCTGGTGTCAGCGCAGGACAGCATCGCGTCGCTGGCCTTGCTGCAGCACGACGTCACGCTGAGGCTTCTAACCTGGCGGAGTTTGCTCGCGTTGGAGGAGCTCCGAGGCTGCAGCGATGGCTGCGTCGGTTTGTTGCTATTGAGGTACTTCCAGAAGCTAAGAGCGTTGTTGAAGTACGACGGGTAGTCAGACTCTGAGGCCATAGTGCGGATTCTTCACGAGAAGAGCAAACGTTGAGATTGTTGATGTTTATGCTAGAACTGATAGTATGCTCAAGCTAGGATGATTGCATAAACACTGTGGGACAGATTTGTAGGCACTGTCGAGTAGGGGAAAGGAGGGGGTGGAGGTGAAAAGGTTCCTCTGGCTTGTCGGGAAGGAAGGGCTGTTCAGGCTCGGAAGCAGGGTTTGTCAGGCTCGGGAGCGAGAGTGGTGCGAGGTGTTCTCGAGACATTGACCTGCCCAACTTTGTTTTCATCTGCCCACGCAAAGATCGTGTGGTTGCCCGAACTCCACTTTTGGGCCCGTACTCCTACCGCAGCAAGACTCCTTGCTGGGAATCAAGCCTACGGACGGAACAATGTTTGAACTGACAGCGGAACTTTTTTTTTTATCGCGCCACGTACGGCGGGGGTTCGGCGAAATTTGAGCTCACAATGAGCGACAACCTCGGGGGAAGCCAGTCAACAGCGGTGTTTGACTAGGAATGCCGGTAACCGTATTCACGACCTTTCTAAATCATCATACCGTACTGGATCTCGCTAAAATATGTTACCCCGAAAGCTTCGCATATGAAGCTTGGACCTGAACTTCGGTTCCGTACCTCCTCGCCTTGCCACCGAGCGAGAAACTTCGGTTCTCGGTTAGTGCTGCTACACTTTCCAGGTATTTTTAATTGGTGTCATATAAGTGATGCTAACTTGCAACCACTATTGCATATTACTGGTATGAATGGATTGAATTTCTTAGTTGGGTTTAACTAAGATGGAAACACCTGCATACATGCCCACGTATATATAAAACCATATCCTAATCCATATAGCATGCAACAACCAGAGTTCTAAGACCTCATCAGAGAGTAGCATGCAGTCACAGAACTGTCAAGAATGAAAGTGTTTAGGGTACATAAACCTAACCCTAACAGTTGTACCCCCTATAACACACATCACTAAGACTACAACATCTGACACACCCCCTAGTCTAAGTGAGGGGTGTCAAGCAAAATCAAAAGTGTACGGTCACAAGACCAGTCACAAAGAAACAAAGCTCAGGGTGGATCACAACGTCACCACACACTCCGAGCACAAGCAAAAGAGCCACAAGGCTAGTTCAAGAGTTCACAGAGGTATATGTAAAGTGTACAAACAAAGCAAGGAGAGAACTCAAGACTATGCAAGACGAGAACCTGTGTCAACGAGACCTAACTGCACACAACACCTCTGGTGGTCACAAGGCGGCCGGGCCTTGGTGAAGATGTCTGCAGTGTTGGCCTCGGACTCAACAAAGTCGAAGCGAGCCTGTCCACACCTCTGTAACTCTCGCAGAAGAAAGTACCTGACGTTACTGTGCTTCACTCTGCTCTCCAGTCGCGGCTCTCGACAGAGGAGAATCGTCGCCTTGTTATCAGTGAACAAGGTCGGCGCAAAGCTCGGCCGCTCACCAAGGTCAGTGAGCAAGAACGTCAGCCAGCGCAGCTCCTGTGCAGCCATAGCTCCAGCGTAAATCTCGGCCTCAGCAGTAGAGGTCGAGACCGAGGAGGAACGTGTGGACCTCCACGAAACAGCTCCAGAGCCCAGGCTGAAACAGTACCCCTGAGTAGACCTGTGCGTCTCGGCGTCGTCAGCGTAAGAAGAGTCACAATGACCAGTAAGCACGACGTCCTGTCTCCCTCCAAGAACCAGCCCCACGCCTGATGTCGTCGCTAGGTACTTCGCCACTCTCACAGCAGCTGTCCAGTGAACTGGACGGTGTCTCCCTGGCGCAACAAAGCGAGCAAGGATGCTGAGA